AGGGCTACATATGTATGACAGTGGCTTAAAATCTAATCAATGCAACATTATAGATATACGTATTTATTCACTTAAGAATTAAATGTGTCATTCTCTTATTTACGATTATTTGCCCCTCGCAGAAAATTATGATGTTATAAGTTAAAGCAGCTTTCAATATAACCGCGTGGCCATTCACTATTTTTTTTGCCAGCGCTAATGATTGCAAATTTTTAGTATCGTTTCAGATCATTATGCAAAACTAAGTTTTATTTTTAATGCTAGAAATACTTGATACAAATTAAAAATATGAATAATTAATAAATGTGCAAATGAAAGTTTTCATATCACACAATAAATCACCATCCTTTAATAATGCAGGTTTTTAAATCAAGCGTTTCTACAACTGCGTAACCGTCGAACCGTAATCAACAGTTATGAAGACTTTTCAAAACGTAGTTGTACTAAAATGATAATTGATCTACCAAAGACAAAATCTAGAATCGGTATTATTTCTTCGACTTAATATCTGAGATGCTTCCATGTGTTATTAAAAACCTTAATATCACAGACTTCAGTAAAGAAATAAGAGATTTAGTTTTTCTCAATATTTCAGTATCGAACGTTTTATTTTTGGTCAAATACGCATGCAAGATGTTGGAATGTAAAATATATTGCAATTTTTTATTCCTATCAAACATTCGCATCTATAAAACTAATAAAAATAATAACATATTTTTGTGTTTAGTTTGTTTCTTACATGTACACAAGAATATAAAACAAATTTACATGGCACCTATAAATTAAACTACAAACCAATTTAAGTAGACTAGAAAATATAAATTAATTCAAATGAATGTTCTAATTAAATGCTCTAAAAAGCGGAAGCTTTTTTTACGTAAAGTTTACTCTGTCTTCTCGTGATCATCTTCTTCGTCTGAGGCCACGAAGCAATCTCCACAAAATATGGAATATAAAATGAGTGACAAAAATCCAAATGGCAATCCAAATATGACAGTAGTAAGTACAGGATTGCCCTGCCACATGTCACGCAATCCCTTCTTAGCTTCGAAAAATGCGCGTCGTAGTCGTACAAAGTAAGTGTCGCCGCCTAGTGGAGTAGCGCTTTCATTATGAATCGACTCTAGGAAGATGTGAAGTGCTTGCGGTGTAATTTTTAGTGGTTCATCGTCTGGTATGTAATGATGTTGGGTTGTAGAGTTGATCACGATTAAATGAGGAGTAGGCAATGTATCCAATATAATAGAGTGTGCTATACCAGGTTCGCCAATCTAAAAATTATATTTAAAATTAATAAGGAGGTATAGTTTGTATGAATTTGTACGCACTTACCCATCCAAATTGAAATTTATCATGATATCTATCGCGATGCTTACGAATAACTGCTTCAACCATGTCACGGAATTCTAGTTCATGTGTAGCTACTTGGTTTAGTTTGTCCTCCTCTACTACGGCTACAACAAGATACTTCTTCGTAAGCATTAACTGATTTATATTGAAGCGCGTGATTTTCGGAAAAGTTGTAAATCTCTCAACATTCACCCAATGATGAACCGTTTCATTAATTTCGGTGCCCTCCATGGTGTCTACGACATGTGCATGTGGATATACATAATGTTGCTCATCTTTGTAAACCAGCAGGGCTGGTAAATGCTCAAAATCGAAATGTTGTGATGCTATATCCGGCGAGGTTGCATAGAAAAATCCATATTCTTGATAATTCTCTGCAGCGGCATAATACGATTCCCACAAAATACCCTCTTGTTGGCCAACGAAAATAAAGAATATAGTGTGAGAACCCTTAAGCATATCAACACTTTCGGGGCGTGTAACTAGCTGTACGGGAGGACCACTCATACGCAGAGCATAATCAACCAATTCTTCCTTAGTGCGATCACCATTATACACATACTTTGCGCTGC